GTGTACACTTTCAGATTAAAATACATTGATTTTATTCCATTCTTAATCTTAGTGGTTGATGGGCATTTTAAAGAGTACGGTAATTTCAGTCTTTCCTTAAAAGCTTCTCACAGCAGGATGTCCTGAAAATGTTGCAAACACAAATGATCAGTTAAGTCTTCAGAAAACTGGATCGTCTTTGTAAGTGGTTTTGTAATGACTAGTGTAGTCCTTAGAATATATTGTGTGCAGTTACTCTCCTTACCTATTATCTATTTTTAATAAAACCATTTAGCTTGGTTAATTAGAGTTAGTAATAAATCTCCTAATCTGCTGACTAATCTTAGAAAATATCTTAGACCACACTAATTTAAAATGAGGCTCCAAGATGAACTATATGTATATATGTATTTTGGCTTATCAGTATTATGCTTGCAAAAGTCTTTTGAAGAATACAAAAAGTTCCCTCTTGATGCAAGTCATAGAGCTCAACTTGATGGACAATACTGGTAGGAAAAAAATAGGCCATCCCAGTAATCTCGCAGAGGGAGGCAGGTATAAACCTTCATTCCCAGTTCTATTCCACTGCTTTATGTCAGTAGTATGCCATTTCTCTTATCCAGTTTTTATCTTGAGGCTTCTTGCAACCATTCAAGCTTCTTTTTCTACAATTCAGCCCCATGTTTTGATACAGCTTCTCATTGCTGCCTGGTGTACCTGGAAGCTTTCTTGTCCTTGTCCTCAGCTTCTGAAGTCTCAGGTCAAAGTAATTGTTAATGCCACCTAAACTGGTACATTGTACTATATTGTACTAAGCAAAGGTAATTCAATCTTGGAACTTACAAGAGAGTTTTTTTCATTTTCTAAGAATATCGCTGGAGCAGACTCAGATATTCTCAACTTAATACTGCTTTGACCATACTTGCATAATCCCCTTTTTGGGACATGTCAGCTGTGAATAGGTGAGACCAAGCAGACTGTATAGTTGTGAGCTCCGACTGTGATCTGCTTCTGATAGGTCAGAGACTTACTCTGTGTCCAATACTAAAAATACATGCATTTAATTCTGTCAATTTAGCTCTATCACTAAGTTCTGTAGTAACAGGTTTGTCTTCTGGTCTGGAGAATTTGTTATTTTAAAGCACATGGTTAACCATTAATAATAACTTTATGCTCAAATGTAGTTATTATCCTCACATGCAGATACTGACAAAAAAAATACTCTAACTGTATTCTGTATCAAGAAGTAATATCAACTCTTCAGCAGAGTCGATCTTTCTGAAGCCGTGTTAGGAGTTTTGAATACCGTTGTATGCTGTTTACCTGCCCAAAATCCTGGACAGTTATTTTGAGCTGATCGTAAATGGGAAGTGCTGCTGCTGATGTCCCAGCTATTTGAAAGTACTCTGAAGTCTTTTTCTTTGACTGGAATGTCAGTATGAAGGGCCATTCTCTCTAAGGGACAGTTTCTTTATTCTATGCTGAATAATTTTGTGGTTCCCTATTTGGGAAAGCTGATGTGTTTCTTTCCTTCTATACAGAATCCTTTCCATGCTGCAATGCCTTCTGCCCCTTATCTAGCAAAGCCAGTCCTGGCTCCAGGAAATCTGTATTCTTTTTGGTGAAGAGCCTGAGAACTAAAGTCTGCTCATGTCTGACTCTGGGTCAGTCTGAGAAGATTTATTGTGGAAACCTCAGCTCCTTCTATCTGATGGGCATGCATGTTGAATATCAAGTCTACAGTAAGATTCTTGATTAATAGCAAGAAGGTCTCTGCTGTGTCCAGGGAACCAGATTTTCTGCTCCTAGACTGGCACAGTCCAGCAATAACTCTGTGGTTCTTATTCCTCTAGGTTAACTGCTGGAGCTGAAGGAAACTGGGCTAACAGCTTGGGGTATCTCAGTATTTTGTTGGTGTCCAGCACTTCTGTATTCTCCTGTGTGCCTAGGATATATATGGGAAGGGTTTGGACTTTTAGGGAATCCAGTCCTGCAGTGGATGTTAAGCATGTTATCCGTAAATCTTTGCTGATTTTGCCTTCCATTGTCTGATGATGAGGATGTTTTTTCTTGACGATTGTCACTTCTACCAAGTAAGTCTGTATAGCATACTCTTAAGATGTCCTATTCCACGTAGATAGTTATCTTCAGAGTTGGTTATAAATTTGATTAATGTATAACTAGTTTAATCTGAATTATAAAATCGGCTTTCCTGTTTGTTCTTGAAGGCAGAGACTTCCAGGACTGAGACCTCCTGAATTTTAGGTCTGTCTTTGTCCTTTTATGATGAGCGAGCAAGAGCCTTGAAGAAAGGACTTTGCTTCAGGTCTGTGACTGATTTTTTGCAGAGGTGCTGTGATGGGTTGACCTGGGCTGGATGCCATGTGCCGACCAAGGCTGCTCTATCACTCCCCTCCTCAGCTGGAAAACATAACAGAAGGCTTGTGGGTCAAGATGTGGACAGGGAGGGATCACTCACAATTACTGTCACAGGCAATACAGATTTGACTTGGGGAAATTAGTTTAATTTACTATCAATCAAATTAGAGTAGGGTAATGAGAAATAAAAGCAAAATCTTAAAAGACCTTCTCCCCAACCTCCCTTCTTCCCGGGCTCAACTTCACTCCCAATGTTCTCTGCCTTCTTCCCCTGAGCGGTGCAGTGGGATGGGGAATGGGGGTTGTGCTCAGTTCATCACACCTTGTCTCTGCTGCTCCTTCCTCCTCAGGGGGAGGACTCTTCACACTCTTCCCCTGCTCCAGCCTGGGGTCCTTCCCATAGGAGACAGTCCTCCACCAACTTCTGCAATGTGAGTCCTTTCCACAGGCTGCATTTCTTCAGGAACTGCCCCAGCCTGGGTCCCTCCATGGGGTGCCGCCCTTCAGGAACAGACTGATCCAGTGTGCATCCCCTGCGGGGTCACAAGTCCTGCCAGCAAACCTGCTCCAGCCTGGGCTCCTCTCTCTGTGGGGCCACAGGTCCTGCCAGGAGCCTGCTCTAGCCTGGGCTTCCCATGGGGTCACAGCCTCCTTCGGGCATCCCCCTGCTCTGGCATGGGGTCCTCCCCGGGCTGCAGGTGGAGATGTGCTCCAAGGGTGCAGGTGGCCTCACCGTGGGCTTCACCAGGGGCTGCCAGGGAATCTCTGCTCAAGTGCCTGGAGCACCTCCTGCCCTCCTTCCTCACTGACCTTGGTGGCTACAGATTTGTTCCTCTTGCATACATCGCTCCTTTCTCTGCTGCTATTGTTCCATGCAGATTCCTTTTTCCTCTCTCCTTAACTCTGTTATGTCAGAGGTGCTGCCACCATTGCTGATGGGCTCGGCCTTGGCCAGCGGTGGGTCTGTCTTGGAGCCGACTAGCGTTGGCTCTGTTGGACATGGGGGAAGCTTCTAGCAGCTTCTCACAGAAGCCACCCCTGCAGCCCCCTTGACATGCAAACCCAATACAGGCCCAGTTGCAAGGCAGATGCTGTCTCCCTGCGTTGCTGCTTTGGGGGGGCTGTTAAAAAGCTGCAAATCTGGAACTGCCTGCTGGTGTAGTCAATGCTGTTGAACAGCATCAGCTGCTGACTTGGAGAATGTCTCTTCTGAACTGTAGCCTGGAGTTCCAGTTCCCCCTTCAGCAAGTGTTCCTGTTTTGGTGAACTTTATTGGGGTTTAAGTGGCATGTGTGAAACTGGTCCCTCGGTCTTTATTGAAGTAGAGTAAAGGATCTTCGTATCCAAGTAATGATGATCTTTGGGGAAAACTACCTGGAGTTACTCACAGCCTAGATCTACGCAGATAGAGAAAGTTGAAGGAGAAAAAAGGCGGTTTACATGTAACTGCTCTCCTTTGTGTTGTATTGTTTATATGTGCATATGCAGCCCTTCTCTGTTTGTGTGACTTTTCCATTCATAATCATAGGGGAAAATGTTTGATTTAGCTGATAAACCAGTGATTACAACCACAGATCATGCTGTGCTGAGCTTGACAGTAGGACTGAACTTTTATTCTTTTCATCTGTGATATGAGAGGTATGCATAAGAAAAACAGAAGGAAATAAAATATAAATGGAGTGATTTGGACAATGGGATTAGTTCTTCTGTTCCAAATTGAGGAGCTTTCCAGCTGCCAGTTGATGAAATGGAAAGCTTTCTAGAAGTTAACTTCTCTTACTCGTGAGACAGTCCAGTACAGGGTGGATCACTCCATCTTAAACTGGTAGTTTTAAACTTACTGTTAAAAAATTTAAAAAGCTTTTTTCTGTTTAAGGAAAAATTCATTTACCTGAATTTTGACTGTCTTCCACAAAATACTTACTAAAACCAGAGGTAGCCCTGAATTTAATATAGGGCATTTTATACCAGCAGTTTAACAGCCTGCCTCTTTAAACATTTTATTTCCTTCCAGTAGCAGATACCTAAATGACATTAACAATAAATGTATCAGGCCAAGTTTTTGTTGCTTATACCCCCGTTGTTTCGCAAACTTTGTTATGAGTATAAATGACAGCAAAATTGTATTTGCCTTTTATACTATATCTCTCTGTATCCACAGTATAGAGTTGCTTCTTTCTCATTGCTATTGTGTTGAACTACGTCAGTGGGGGGTTTTTTGTTTTGGGCTAAGAAGGGGTTTTGCTGATATAAACGGTGAATTTATATTTGGTTGCAGATAATGATTAGTACTGATGGTTGATCTCTTTCTAGAGTAATGCTATGTTGGTATAATTGTCCAGAAGTTAACTTGTAGGAACATAATTGTAAAAGAACAAACTAATAAATCTCACAGGATTCAGTTGTTCACTACAGATTCTAGTCTTCCAGTTATTGCTGTTCCAGTCCTGCACTCAGCTTTAACAGTATGTATAAAAATTAGTAAATCTAGGACAACAGTGATTTTAAAAAAATCGATGAAGATTGATCAGGGGAGAAAAAGAGTGGAGAAATTGTGTTTTCAAAATAACAACATAGTAAGTAGTACATTGTATGAACTCTGGCAGCATTTCTGAGAATGAATAATTTTATTTTTTCTCCAGGATTCAGAGTTCCCTGTTGATACTCAAGTGAACCCATACCTTGTGCATGCTAAAGAATATACTCAACCCCTGGAATCTGAAGAGTATAAGCTGAGCAACGTTTTAAAAGTGCATGACTTAGCAGTGAGCTGGTAGGAACCTTAACAGTACATTAATTCTATTGTTATACACATGTTGAGTTTTATTTTTTAACAGGTCATTGGGAGGTGTTTGCCTTAAGTAAATTTCTGAAAACCTACTGGCAGCAGTCAGGGGAACATTGTCACTGAAGGATGTGAAAGTGGAAAAAATGATAATGAAATTTTGTGGGAGCGTAAATACAGTAAAACACCTGAGCAGAACTGTTTACAGATAGAGATTCACCTTTTATGTAAGAAGGGTGGGGTTTGGTTAGTAGATATAAAAATGGCAACCAGATGACTATCTACTCAGGTTCCAGGAAACTGGATTATAATGCTGAATAGTTTTGCAGTTTGTATTTGACTGTCGTTTATTCCCTTGGGTCAAAAATCAGAAGAGTTTAAGTTTAGATTAGCTTGGGTGTGTAAATAGGCTGTAAGCAATGACATTTCAGCACTTGCTAGTGGCAGCTGAGGAAGAATAATCATAAAAATTAAAAAAAAAAAGATAGAGCTAGTAGCAAAGTTGAGACAATGCTGACACATTGTCTAGGTATGAGTATACTTTCAAATTAATCTCTAAAATAATCAATACTTTGGTCATTCAGCTAAAGTTTATGTAGCTTGATGCTGTTCTTACTGCACTCAGACTGCTAGTAGATTACTTCTGATGGTACTTCCTTAAAGAACTGTACTCCTACACTTAATTTTAGAAGCTTAATTTCCTGTTGCATCCAATGTAGCTATGTTTTAAAAGTGGGCAATGTAATTCTCATGCAAATTAAGAGTTTGACAATTTACTGACTCTTTGTTCAAAACGCTGTTTTGTTGTTTTGAGTAGTACACCATATAAACGGTACACAAAACCAGAGCCAAGTAAAGCAATGGCACAAATTAGAACGTGCTGATGTGGGTGCAAGGTTAATCTTGTCTGTGAAAACGGAAGCAATATTTACACATTTCATAATTACAATGCAAATGTCACAGATACTTTCTTTAGGTGGCTGCCCATATTTTGTAATAAATATCCACCATACTGCTTTGAGTTTTGGCCTAGTTGGGCAGGCATCTGCTTAGTCTCTCAGATGCTCAATTCTGGTTTTGAGCCTGGCTAATCCCTAATCTATATTTGTAAGGTAATATTTTGGATATTTTTCTTCTGTACTCTGTAGTCACGTCGGTCAGTCAGGAAAGAAGCTTGTAACTGGCATCTCTGTGCTGCTACTCTGAGGAGGCTGTAGTATATCCACCCAAAATATTAGTGGTAATTTGGCTTATCTGAAGAACGCTAGGTGCAAGGGTGGTGTGTGTTTAAAAACAAAACCAACCAAACAAACAAATTGGTCTGGAGGAAGAGGAAGACACTTCCACACTTGGCAGGAGTTACAGGCTGCATAATCACAAGATTTATATGCATGACAAGCTAGAGAGGGGCAAGTCTAAAGTAATAATTTTCGTGTTAATGTTCACCTTGTTAAAAGTTTGCCTTTTACCTGGAGTAGGAAGCCAGGTTTGAATTATAAATTACTTTTGAATGTTGTTGCAAACTACTTGTGAATGTTAAAATATGTAACTGAAAATAGTAAAGTTCATAGGCTAGTCAGGAAAGGATGCATCTATCTAAATTTTTCAGTTATCATATACTCGAACAATAACAGATAAATATCATACATGTTCATGTAAAACTATTCCTTGCATTCCTTATCTATCTTTGATTATATTTTTATATCTTATTGAAAGCGTTATTCTAGAACTTTATATCCAGTGCTTCTAGTTATTGCTAGAAGAGATACTCTTATGTACTGGTAAATTCTAAGTATTTTCTGCAGTTAATAATTGGATATCACACCTTAAGGATACAATGCTGCTTGAGAAAGCAATTTAGTGGAATAAAAATAAATTGGATGTCTTTAAACTTATTTGGAAACACTTCAGAACTTGCTTGGAGAAACAGCAACTAAACTGAAAACAACCAGTGAGGATGTGTATTTAATTTCATATACTGGCAATATGATGTTGACTTTCATGTAAAGATAATGCTTTAAAGAAAGTGAGAGCCTGGGATAGTGCTCTAAAATTAACAGCAATAGCTATTTTTAAAATATGAAAAAACAAAAGCATGTAGAGGACAAAAGAATAATTTTAAAATATTCTTGAAAAATGTAAACAATGTAATTGAACTTTTCATTTGCTTAAAAATATCTGTGTACCGGATGGATTATAATTTCTGCATGTTTAACCGTGTCTGAAAAAGGCATTTTAAATCTCTAGTCATTTCAATTAACATAGGTTTTCTGATCCGAATACCACTACTTATAAAGACTGAATTTAAAGTGATTGAAAAGAAAGACTATCTGTTGTTTCCTATGTTAATACTAAAGGCTATATCATAGCCTGGTTTGTGAAAGGTGTAGGCTTTTTTTGATAGCATGTCCTGCAGTGTTTTTTTAACACCCTGGCCAATTTCAGACAAATTTGACAGAAGAATAAGAGTCAGAAGTACTGAGGTTCCCATGTGTTTCAAGAAAACAGATTTCTGTTGAAGAAAGGGTTGCTTTTAGTACCCTGTTGGCGGCAGGTGGCTAAGAATTCAAAGAGGGGAGAGAAGTTGCGAATACTCTATTTTTTGGAAAGAGCTTCAAATGGAGCTCATACCTTATTAGATGCTATAGACTGTAATCTCAAGGCACACCGCTAATGCACACAGAGCTTGGGTTATCATTTTTAGTTTGACACAGCAGCTATTCAGTCCTGAATCTGGCTTTCCTTGGGAGTCCAAGAGGTTATTAAATGCATAAATCGAGATTTTTTCAGAGAAGAATTACTTTGATAAAATTCTCTGTATAGGGAATTAAATAAAAATGGCCCATTTGAAGAAATTCTGAACTTTCACTAATGTACTTAGAGTAATTATCATGGTCTATTTGATTTCACAGATAGAAGGTGGAGATCAGTATCCACTAGAGGAGAATTAATTCTTTCTTGTCGTTCATAAGACAGATGGAAAACATTCTGTTGACTTAGGAGACCAAATTTGCTTTTTTATTACTTAAGTTGTTCTCACCAGAACCAGTGTATCAAAAAGACAGAACAGAATCTGGTTCGTGGATGTATATGACTAAGTTCCTTTACATTTCTTTAGAAATTGGAGCTCCCACAAATCCAAATTCACATGCCTTAAAGCTGATGTAGATTAGTTCTTTAGACCTTCATCAGTATTCATTGAAACTCATATTTGCAGAAGCAGGGGAAAAATCCCTTGGGAAACCATGTTTGTTTTCTGCTAAGCTGAACGTTTCCAGCTTTTCAAATCATCACATAGGCATTCCTCTTCTGCATTAAGCTCACATTTCTCCAGTGTCCTTTTAAAAATCCTGGTAAATCTTACTCAGCCTACAAGAATCACTGTAAAATCTATAATGCCTAAATGATCTTCCCAATCTTATTTGCTTAATGTTTGCTTTCTCCCCACCTGCTGTCTGCACCTTTCATGTAAGCCCAGGGGGTTTGCATGGCTTCCCATGGAAGGGACTTCTACAGTCACCATATGCAATACCACATCTGTCATGGTTTATATGGTCTTCACTTGGGAAAAGAAAGATGCCCATGCAAACATTGTTCAGGGTATTTTTAATGGTTAGTATGCTCTTGGAAAATGGAAAAATGTCAGGTATTACATTGGATGGATGCTTATCTAAGTTGCAGCTGAAAAATTAGCAGTAATGGCATGAGTTTCAGATTAGTACAATGCTATATTTAGCGTATAATTTAATGTATTTTGTAGATAGAAAATAGTTCTATTTCTCTTGTTTAAATCTCAGATGAGAAAATTAGTGTTGTGAAAATACTGTCTATTTGCAGTTTAATTATGACCTCTTTTAATACCCCTTAACTTGAGGAGAATGACAAGTGAAGGCTCCATCGCCTTGCCTCTTTTCTTAATTTTTAAGATGTGTCGTCTTCTCCTCCTCCTCCTTCCCTCCCATGCCTCACAGAGGTTACAATTCTCCTTTCAAAGCTTATTTGATGTTTATCGTGCATAGTAATTTCTGTAAAAATGCCGCTTTTGATTGTGGGTAGAATTTGTAAAGTCTATGGCCTAATATTTTAAATGGATGCTTTACCTAGTAAGTATACCTGCATAAATAGAAAATGTTTTGTATATTATTCTTGTTTACATGTAACCTGATGTTCCCAAATCCTTTATCCTTGCTTGATATTTTGTAGAAGAAAAAGCTAGAGAATTGCAAATGCTCTGCCTAGGCACAGTAAAAATATGAAGCTGAAGATAATAAAGCAAATATGAAATGTTTAGTGATTATCTAGGCTTTCCTGATGGGCTTAGTGAAAGATAACTTTTCTATGGGGACTAATTCATCATTATATCTTACTATATTAGGTTCCCCCATTTTTTTATCAGTGGATTCCAGAGAAGACTTTAGAAAACTTATCTCCTTGGGAAGCATGCAAATTGACTTGTAACATAAAATTGTGTAGGTGATTATATGAGACTTACTCACAAATTGAAATTAAAGTTACAGTCTTGTGCCTCGTCCAAAGTTATGGAAGGGAGACTGCAAAGAGGTTGTTGCAAAACCCTGTACTCTTACTACTACTTTTTTTTCCTTCTTAACATAGAAATGCAGGTGTACTGGTACATCTGGATCTGCACATACACATGCAGACAGAGGAATAATCTTTGCAGGAAAGAGATTTTTTTTGAGTGTTAACATGAGGAATTTCTTTTGAAATAGCTTATAGTCTTAAATTTGCTGTAAAAAGATGATATTGATCTACATTGGCTCTTTAGAGTTTCAAGTTTTCCATTTATTATACAGTGAGGCAGAGAGAATTTGGCAGTAGTGCGAAGAGCCATGCATTTTGTTGTGTTGGTCAAACTATCTGGGCTGTGCTCTGTTTTAGTCCCTTTTAGACATACTTTTCTATTTCATTCTCAAAACTTTTGTTTTTCATAGAGTTGCTTGTGGAAAGAGCAGACCATTAAGATTGTG